TTGTATACCTATGGACGTTACTTAATAAAAAAAATAGCTAGACTCGTGGTGCTTCTGGCTGTGTTTCCAATAGCTGTGTGATTGCCGCACTGGATTGAGTTACCAGGCCTTTGAATTGTGACCTTCTGTCTGAAAAAGCTTCAGAGGTTGCCCTTCATTTTCCTCGGATTTGGGAGACTGGCGGGGGGGGGGGGGGGGGGATTGTGAAGGCAGCCCTACGGGTTATTTTTTCCCATACCTGTCAGCTTCTTTATAAAATAATAAGAGTTTCTTGATTTTGAAGACTTAAAACCAACCTTCACAGGCCTTGGAAAGCCGGGAGTCCAGTTGAGTGTAATTATTTCCACAGTGAACGAATCAAGTGTTGTGTTTATCATGGAGTAGCCATTGCAGTCAAAGCACCCACCCTCACTGGATAACTGAAATTAAGGCGGGAAAAGGGGAAGGAGTCACAGTGGTAAAGCAAGCCACCCACAGGGGGGTCTGCAAGGCTCTTCCTTCAGTGTTCAGAAAAGTTTTGAGGATATCTATAATCCCGACTTGAGGAGGATAGTTCACCTCTTTTAATAAATGATGCCAAAACACCCGTGCTTCCTGATTTGCTGATTTCAAGTTTAAGGAGTCCTCATGTTTTCCCCCATTGGCCATTTAATGTATTTGTGTGTTTGAACCAGTGAGCTAATTTACAATATGTCTTTATGAATAATCTGATGCTATAGAGTGATGTTGTATGATATGTATGACTACTATCTAGCCATATATGTATAGCTGAAATTATACAAACACACACACACACACACAATTTTAATATAACACACATCTTTCTGGATCTATTAAGTTTATTGCATTTTACCTTGTTCCAGTATGATGACACAGTCAGAAACCAGCAGTGTCTCAGTGCTCCATCTACTGTTTAAAGGTGACTTTGATCAGCTACAAAAATGAGGCAAATTCCCGAACAAATAGTATGAGGAGAAAACCACCCATCTTATTAAAAATCAAGATTCAGGCAGACATGAGGTTCCCAGTCCAGTGCCCAGCGCACAGTCAGTGCTTGGTTTCCAGGCTGACCCTTCCTCCTTCTGTGAGCTGCTCATTGTTACTGAAGAATTTAAAAACTGAGAACTCAGCTGTAGTGAAACCTAGAAAACCCAAAGCAAAATTTGCAGATCCTCTTACATGTTATGGGAGGTGCTGACAAGATTGGTTTTGCCCATGGCTTAGAGAGAGAAAAAAAAAAATGTTGAAGAGGAGACACCCCCGGCCCCCGGGTTGCTTCATGTCAACAGAGATCCAGTCTACAGTGTGGAAAGGCAAAAGAGCTTGTTGCTGAGATTAAACATGTGCTTCCAAGAACAATTATTTACATATTTTTGACAGAAGGAAGAAAAACTAACTCTGTTTGCCATTTTGGAAAATCAGTTGATTTTGGAAGAGAAAATCTATTGTGTCATATTTTTCTTAAAGTGCCTATAACACCCGTACTCTTCCCTGAAGAAAAAATAATAATAATTGCCACTGCCCATGCTTTCTTTATCAATACCAAGAAGTGCTATCCAAAGTTCGTACTAAGAATAATAATTTTTTAAAAAAACATCCTATAGGCAGTCATCACGACATAAGATAACAAGTTTTCCTCTCTAAATAAATAAATGGTTATGATTCATACATAAAAACCAATGTACTTATTACGAGGTCAGGAAATGGGTTCTATTTTCATACTGTGTTGGTACCAAGACTATAATATTTATGAAAATAATTTTCCATGGTACAGTTAATAGTTAGTAATTGCCTCCTTAAATTCACTGTTAAAAGCTATTCATGTTGGAGTTTGAATGGAAAGCATTTAGCAAATGTTGGTAGACATTTTGCTTGGTGGATTTAATATCATTCTTAAAATAAATAGAGGATGTTTTTCTTGGTTGTGTTTCAACTGAAGGGTACTTGGGAGCAGGACCCTCATTGTACCGTTCATCCCAGTGGGGAAAGCACATGTCATGGAAGGGACCGGTCCATAGACCAGTGAGCATCACCACTTCAACTATTCAGTTACCACCCAAAGGGGTCCACAAACAAGCTACCACTGTAGAGCTATGGTGTGGAGCAGAAGAAAAAGAAACGTATCAGGAAGCAGGGGAATTTGGAGTATGATGTTTTGGAATATTTTCTTTCCCATCCCTACTTCCAACAGTTTGAATAGTGAAACATTCTCAGATATTGTTGATTTTAATCACGTGAGAGGATAATGACAGGGACTTTGATTTGGGAGAAAAGTGCTAATTATACTGTGAAACTCACTGACATTATTCTTGAGAAACAAGGGGCTCTTAAGAATTGTAGGTGCAGAGGAATTAGGGCTAGCCCTGAATGGCATGGATCCTTATCCATTCAGGGCTAACAAGAAGAGAGGGAAAACACATCTTTTCCTGGAAACTTCACGGCCCGTCAAGCACTTCGCTGTCATTCCTGGAAGAGAAGAGAGTCACTTAGTCTGCCTTGGCCTTTACTTTTTCAGCGTTTCTCATGTGGATGTATTGAATCAGCTGTTTACTCCTGTAGGTTGAGAAATATCTTCCTTTGTATTATTCCAAGGACTCTCTTGCATTTGACCTTGTCTAAGGACGTTGGTTGATTTTTGTGAGCACATCTTTATTTAAAATTCTCTCTTAATCTAAAAGTACTGGAAACATTTATGAAAATGATAGACTTCTCCTGTCTAACTGGGAGCATATCCAGTCAAGAGCTTCTCTGGCAGATAAAACCTGTTTGGTTTGAAAGATCTTTGCATCTCTGTTAGTGTGTTTAAACATCTCATTCAGGCTGACCTTTTCAGCCAGCTTTCTTCAGTTTTCTTGTAATCTGTATGGCTGACTTAGGAAACAGTTTAGTTCTTTGTGGTATGTGATCAAGTTATATAATTAGAGTTGATGAAAATTTCATAACATTACCTTTTGATTATTTAACATAGAATAACTTATTTTGGATTCAAGCTGTATATGGAGTAATTACTATATATTTGGAATATGGAGTTAGTAACCAGACAAAATTTATAGGTAAACATGTGATTGTTTTCAATACATCTAGTTTTGCTTTAGAAAAAGGAAACTATTTAAAAGTGGTAAATATGCACATGGCTATTTCTTTTAACCAGTGACTACGCTGTGTGTCACATAATTATGAGGTATGAGCTATATTATTTCCATTTGTGGTCACATTAAATTCATCATATCTTCCCTAATTTTATTCATAATTACACGCATCACTTCTCTGAAGGCATCTTGTTTGGTTATTTAAATAAAATTATTGAATTTCAATATAAAAGTGCATGTAATATGATAAATTTGACTGTAACATAGGCAAGTGACTTGTATGTAAAGCTGACACAGTATTTCTGCTGCTTTAACTTTGTGTAGTTTGCATATTCGCCAATATAATCTTCAATGGATCAGATGAATAGCATTTTAACCATGCATATCTAAAATAATTTTTAAACTATGGGAAGCATGAATACAGTAGCTGAACGTAAAGTTTCAACCAGGGGTTAAATTTTATGTTTTCGGAAGCCTAGTAATAAATCTGAGTGCAGAAGAAGTCACTGTCTGGGTGTCTGATGTCATAAATAGAATTAACGTAGCATTAGATTTTACCTAACTACGATAGAAAACTCCATTACAGACAGTTTTGGTTCCTGCACATGTACTTTGGTATGTTGAAGAACTGATATTCCTGGTCTGTGAGAGTGGAGTGTTGTAGGTGGGAACATAACTCTATTTCTGCTGCATATGTGAACAGATCCAATAGCAATCAACTGTTTTCTGACCTGGCTTCCCAAATATGGTAGATGCCTAGCCCATGATTCCTTGCTGGTACTACACAAGATGAAATCCTAGGTGAGTTAGCACTTTAAGCTGTCTCTTAGGTTTGACAAAGTGCTCTTTTGCAAGCAATTTAGACTGACATCCTTTCACGGGGGAGAAGAGAGAACGCCTGTATGGAATTTTGGTCCTTAGAAGCCTTTAGTTGGGTTTGGTTTGCATCATCGGAATGGTGCTTTCATTTACAAATTGGCAGAGCTAAGGTAAGACCCTATCTATAGTTGATGTGAAGTTACTGTGATTTTTAATGTTTTTTCATACTAAGGTTAGAGCTTAAAAGAAGGGATACAGTTTAAAAAAATAATAAAAAGAGCAAATAGAATAGTGATATTGGTAATGACAAAATGCTTTCTAAAAATGAGCGCAAAGACGTTTATTTCAGAGTGAATACTAGTTTGGATGCATTTGCACTTAAACTGTGGTAAAGGACCCACAAGGTATTAGCCCATACAAGGGAGTGCGTTTTTTCAAGATTCCAAGTCAGCATAATGGCTGAGGCCCTGACTTGGAAGTGGAGTGATTTTGTGCCTAAAATGTGGTTTCTTAACTGATGCTCAACTCCTAGGTGAGTGTAACAGCTTATCACTCATAGATTCTGAATTGGTTAAGGTTAGAATTTTTTTTTTTTAAAGGAAAAGCTGCAAAGCCAGTTCCAGACTAGATGAATCTCTCCTCAAGACTCATTGAAAAATGTTAATGGTGAAATATTATCTGGGTCCTATCCAAAGAACTGAAGCCTTTGCCCTGCTAACAATCCTCGCAGCAGAATCGTCAGTCAGGCTTTCGTTGTTAAGCTGCTAATAGCTAACACGTTTGCCCATTCTCTCTCTGCTTCATGGAAACAGCTTTTTTATCTTCTCCAGACCTGTTAGTAGGTAGGTACATTAGGAAGACGTGTGAAAAGTATCCGGTTCCCTAAGTTTCGGGACCTCAAAAAAAACAACAAAAAGTATTGGAAAAGTGTAAAAGATAACGTGAAACTACTCCCCAAAGATCTTAATTGGGAGCTACTGGCGCGGGAGGATGTGTGTGTGTTGACAGCGGTTCCCACAAGTTCTTCCCCCACAGCTGTTTATTCAGATAGCATGGGGCGCGTCATTTACATAATAAATTTTTTTTTTAAGCAGCAAGGTTGAGTCAGTCCAAGCTGCTCCTCTCAATTGTTGCATTTAAACCAATAAGGTTAGGACAAGAGAATAGCTGTGGTTTGCGTTGCAAAAACAAAACAAAACAAAAAGCCCCGAGGCTTCGTGGGCAGACCTACAAGGCTGCGCAAACAAATCGGGGGGGATGAGATTGTGCCGTTTCTTTGTCTAGGCGTCTCAGATGCTATCTGCCGCTGCCGTTCGCTGGGGCGCAAAGCCGTTCCCAAACAGACCGCGGCGAGCTGATGGCTCCGAGCTTGCGGCGAGGTAGCGAGTGTGCAGGGCCACTTCCGACTGGAAACCTTCCTGCGGCTGTGCGCGGTGGCAGGGTCCTTCCTGGGGAAGGCGATCGCGCTCAGTCGCTCGGCAGCCCGAGACTGCAGCAGCGCCCGGGTACTGTTCCCCGGAGCCGGGCAATCCCCGGCCTCCGCGCCCCGCTGCCAGCCGCGCCGCAGCGCTGCTGAGAGCGCCGGGTTCCCGCGTTCCTGCCCAGCAGCCAAACTATGTCAGGAATGGAGGTCTACTAACACAGAAAACTCAAGGAGCACACTAAGCCGGTGGAGGCAGCAGATGTGAGCGCTGTAAGTACAAGCTGGGTGTTTGAAAAATTGTAGTGACCAAGAACAGCTGTCCGGTGGGCAAAGCCCGAGATAACAGGAGCGCTTTTATTGATGTTTTGATTTGTTTCCAAAGAAAAAGCATTATGGCTTGGGGAAAATGATGACACTTTGTTCCTGGGACTTTAGTAGCCACGGGGTTCAGTCATAAAAGTGAAATCCTTACCCTCCAAATGATCTGAGCCATTAGGATCATTAAAGGATCATTACAAATTAACTACTTTTGTTATGATCTTTATAAATAAGTAGAATGCTGGGTAAGGTTCTCGAAGGGAGATTATTTCGTATCTTTTCTCATTTGCTGCACTAGTCCCAGAATATTATTGTGTGGTGTTGAGCAGAGTGTTGTATCCGTACACAAATGTATAGATACTTGAAGTATACACAGTGGCGTATATTACAAGCGCTAGGTTGATAAATGAGTATACATTCCTGATGGGAAACACAGCAGATGAACAACAGACTAACAACCATGTTTTCAAGAAAGAAGCCTTTTTTTCTTCCATAACCAATTTACCAAACACTGTATTAAACAGGCTCATCTTCAGTACGTGATGCAATAAACCTTTGCACCACCAGCCCTCCTTCATGTATTTGTCCCTCTCTGGCCCTTTATGTGATTTGAGTGCACTTGGGAGTTAAAACTCCAGATTTTGAAACTTTTGGATAGCTGTATAAAGGATTGCCCTTCAAAATCAGCATCTGAATTGCTAATGAGTCACAGGCTTATACTTCTTGAGGAGTCTGGAACATTTAAGCACAGAATTTGCAAGAATTCAATATGTTCTGAACTGTCATTGAGTTTAGACAAGTGTTTTTAAGTTTCATTTCTTAAGATGGTCAGTGGCAGTTGGGAGCCATGGTGTGGTTGGAGAGGTTTGCAGCTGCTTTTCTAATGTGTCCTTCGAAGAAGGTTTTGTTTCATGCTCTTGTGAGTCTTTCTCCTCACTGTTTAGGGTTTGGGGACACGCATACATGAATAGTCATGCCTTTATATGATCAAACATTTGATATTTGACTTTCTCGATGCCTGAGTTCTCCTAAGGCCCGAAGTGTTTAGTAAGTAAGCAAGCAGCCGTGGATTTCCAGCCTTTGAAAACTCTTTGTGGTGACAGACAGAGAAGTCTAATTGAGCCACCGTTCAGCTTTAGAGTGCCAAATGAAGTCAACCGCTCTGTGAGTTTCACAGGCATGATAAATGATTTTTGAAAAGGAAAATTTCCATCGGAGTGTGAAAATGTATTTCCTAAGAACACAATGGGAAGAAAAGAGACCCTTGCAGCAGGAACAAAATCTCTTTTATCAGATAACCAGAAATATTTCAGTCAACATTGTCAATGAATGCTAATTTTGAAAACAGTCCTTTCTCTTTAAAGCTGAAGATAGGAAGGATGTGTTTTAAATACTTGTTTGTTTTGGTATCAGAAGGATTATGTTTTCTGATTTTCCTTAAAGGAGATAATGCAAAAAGCAATATGGGATATTACATTAAGATAATCATCACTAGCATTTGAGCATTCAGTTTATGGAAGCTTTGATAAGGAAATGCAGTGCTAACATTTGACAAACATCTACTTCTCCCTGGAAGCTCTTTCCCACTTCAGGGTGAGGGTTTTGTTTTTCAGGCAAGGTTTACGTGGCACCACTGAGAGCTGGAAATGTGGATGGAGGAGCAATGTAGCGAGACCCTATTCTGTTTAAGAAGCAGACTTATGGTAACAGCACTTTTTCCCCCTCCCTAGAAAATGCATTCTGATTAGAAAATTACCATTGTCTTTCAAATTGGGGAGCACACAGGTTGATCTGTGTCAGACAAAACCAGCTTGCCTGCCAGCTCTACTTAGATAGAAGTTCAGTACTTTCACTTTGAAAATTTCTTTTTAGTTTGAAAAGAAAAAAGTTTTAAATTATAGTCATTTTATAAAAATTGCTTCTAGCAAGCGAAAAAGCCCGTGGAAAACCCATAATTTAGACAAGTACCTAGATTTTATTTGCTCTGTGCTGCTCAGATTTAGAATCCCTTTCCATTTACAGTTTACTTTTCACAGGACATTATTAACTTTCTGGCTTCATACATGATCTTCTGTCAGATGCTTTTGATTGGTAATTTAGCAAAGTATAATAAACAGTGCAAAAGTCATGAATTTTGCTCTGTATCCTGAGCTCTGTGGTAGGGAAAATGTGATAAAATGTGTACCTTAAGTCTTGTTTGATGATCTCTCAGAGCACGTTTGCCTTCTGGAAATAATTTCTGGGGTTGAAGAGCATGGTATTAACAGATTTAATGTGGCTATTCAATGGATTGACGAAGTACTATGTGAGGTTTAACAAAATGAGAGAGACAAATTGAACATCAACAAAAGTTACATCTGTGAAGAATTATAAATTTAATTAGAAAAAAGGCAAAGTTAAAAGACCTCATTAACTAATCAGAAGTCATAGTTACTAGTGTAGGAGTCTTGAATTTAAATTCCAAGGAACTCTGTTATCTTTTTTCTTTCTATTTTCACAAGTCTGGCAATATGCGCGTTCTATGAAGAGTTTTTTAAAAAGCATTAAAATGAATGACCTTCTTGTATGATGAGATGATCATTCATAATACAATGGGTACTAAATTTGTACTCCTGAGAGTATTGGAATTAAAAAATAGCAGATTAGAAGATGACAAGAATTACATTGACTTTACAGATAAAGCAAATAAGTAAACATACTGGTGGCTAGCAGAACTTTTTTAGAAACCACGAACTCCAGAACTTTCTTTTGAATGAAAAGAGCCTTCATTAATTATTTTTGAAACACATTGTGGTTTTAGAGCTTTAAATGCAAAAAACTTTCATAGACGTTGTCAAACATGAGCGGAAATTGCCAGCCATCAGAAATAGGTGTCCTTTTTAGATAAGCCATTGAGGGAGCAAGGACGTCTCCCGACTGTACTGTAATCTTGCACTGCACATAAAAAAACTAAAAGCATGTGAAGTGTAGCATTTTGTAAACTGTAACTAATTTCACTCACATCTGTGTCTAATTGTTGTCTGCATTCGCATTCTTGAGAGTAGATTTATTTTTCCTGGACCACGATGTGGGTTCAGCTGACCAGCCTAAGTGAGGATTAGTTGTTTTAAAGTTATTTTGATTAAAGAGTCATTTTTAAATACAGTAACACACAACACATGGTTTAAATAATCCTTGAGACACAAAAGAATATATCTGAAGTACACTTCATGAAAGGAAGATCGTGGGGACGGACTTTTAAAACCTGCTCTCTGAAAGTACAGTAGAAACTAGGCTGCCAGCAGGAAAGAAATACGTGGTTAAGTGGCATTTTTTTCCAATAAGGAAATGCGTTAGAATAATTCTTATTTGTCGGTTCTTTTTTATTATTATTATTACCAAGTTTGATTAAAAAACAAAACCAAAAACAAAACAAAACTGAGAAACGGTAGGTTTTAAACTTCAAATACAAAAACAATGAAGTTTTCAAAGAATACAATGAAATAAAAATTCTATTTCTGAGATTGCACTTTCTAGCTGATTTTGCAATGGGGATATATTTTAGCATCGCACAGTAAGTATGCTTTAACCTACTCTTACGTAATTAAGCCAAGAGAGTTCTTAAGATGAAGTCCGTTCTCACCTATAATTTATTCCAGGTGTGTAAAAGTAGGGGCATTTTATCCTTGAAATACATTGCTGCAGTTTCTAAAGGAAATCAATCTTGCGTGAGAACATTAATTAAAAAAAAAAACTGCAGAAACCTGTTATCAAATAATGGACATCTGCAGGCATTGAAGTTAGTAACTTCAGGTACTCAAATGTCTTACAACTTGGTTTTTGTTCTGCATGTAAAAAAAACAAAACAAAACAAAACAAAAAACGCATACCTAGAAGTTCCACGTAACATTATCCCAAGACGTTTAGACCGTCATGATGCTTTATTCTCGCTAGAAAGGTCGTGTTTCTTAATTTCATAAATCATAATTAAAAACTAGCAGGACTCAACAGAAGATGTTTAGGTGGATAACTTTAACGTCATTTGAGACGCTTCACTTCCCATCTGTGCGCTGCAGCCCTAACTGATGTCAGTTCAGGTTGAATGAAAATGCACATCAAAGATCTGGAATTCTGTGCCATTTTAAAAGTTAGGCAGAGTGCTCCTGCCTGCCTGCCTGCCCAAGCGTTGGTGGGAGCTTGCAAACCGACAGCAGCTGGGCTCACCTGAACCTCATTACCTGCTGGCCCTTCAAACTGCCTCTGAAGGGCAAATTAGTGAAGTTGGGCAGTGAAGTTACCCAGTTCAAATTTATCTGGAATCAAACCGAACATGCAGGCTGGCTGGGCTGGTGAATTAGAGTACTCAAATATGCATTGTACTTCAGTCTAAAAAATGGGACACACACACACACACACACACACACACACACACACACACACACACACACTTTCTTTCATGTTGTCCAGTGTAGCTGCATAAATACTCATTGGGTTTTAATTTGGCATAGTTTAAACAAGTACAGTGCTCAGTGCTGGGACTTTGGTTATGAAAACCTGCCTTTGCCTTGTGTCTTGAGCTGTACAGCATGGCCTGAAGTTGTTTCATTGACTCTTAAATGACAAATAGTAACTGGGAGAAAACCATCCCGATAAGGCTAGGAAGTGGTCAGGAGGCTAAGGGAGTGGGCGGGCGCTCTAGTTCAGCTGGCTAGAACAGAAGATGAAAGATCTGAGGATGCTGGGGGATTATTGCCTCAACTACTGCTGCTGTTAAACAGACTCATTTGTTAATAGCTATTTTTTTTTCCCTTCTTCCCAAGCACCTTTTCCAAGCTCTGGGGCGAGACTGCTTTGCATGTTGATTGGGGGAGGGGTAATCCCATTTGCAGCTGTCATAGGCCAGTGATGAATCACTAGCCCGTCATTTGACTGCCTGCCTTCCCCTCCTGACAAGGGGAGGAAGGAGGAGGACAGACCTGCAGGAGGAAACAACAGTTGAGCCCTCCACTTAAAGACACTATGCCTTTCCTGGCTGCCCCGGCCTCCTTTTTCTCTTTCGGTTAAAAGTGAGCGTTGTGGGACTCAGCCATGTGCTCTATGTAATTAAGAGCTGACACCGAAGCACACTTAACAACCACTTCTGCTTTTCTACCCCTGGCCACAGGTGCAAACACCCCACACCGGTTCCGATGTTGCTCCTTCCTCACGCTGCAGGTAAGGATTTTGTTGATAGTCAACATTTTTGTAGCTTACCTTTCTGTGACCCGGATCTATTTTTGTCTAGCATTTCTTAATTATTTCTATTAATAGCAACAGCCTTGGTTGGAAATGACTTAACAGTTTGTGTGTATGTGTGTGTGTGTGTGTGTGTGTGTGTGTGTGTGTGTGTGTGTACACGTGTACATGAGTGCCCTTGTAAAAAAATAATTAAGTGTACCAGAAAGGCATGTGAGACTTGGTTTGAGACAATTGCTCCCTGTTGTTAGGAAAACTGTGTGTGGAAGGACAAGTAGGAATTAGTGGATTTGAAATCAGTTCTTGTTTGAATTCAGATACTTGAGGAAGTAAAAATGGCTTATGGGAAGCTATTCTACATCTGATAACCCACAATCAATTTCAGTGTAGCCTATAAATTAAAATGACCCCAGGTAAGGTGAGGAGCAAATATCAGCATTATATATCTGTAACATTACTCCCCCTGGATTATTCATTTTTTAGAAAAAAATATGTAATTTTTAAAATATAGTGAATGTGCGTTAGGCATTACAGTTCGTGCTGTCAGCAAATGAAGCTGTATCTGAGCATCTAATTAGTGACTTTAAATAGGCCCCCTGTTCATGAATAAGAGTGGTAAATATCAGAAGTATCTGGTTCTGAACTTGTCTCTGAGTTGTGGCTGTTGTGCCTTCTACAGCAGAAGTAACTGGTGAACTTAAGGCCATCTGGGAGGCATTGAACTGCTTTTTATATGGTGAAAATGCAAAATTACAGCATGGCACAGAATTTTCTTCCCCCCCCCTAAGTGACAGCTGAGGCGCTCTGAAGGCTCATGGTCCCACAGACCCTCTGTGTGTCGGCCTTATCCTTTTTCAGTTGGCTACGGTGTATGTAATCCACAAAGCAAACAAGTGGGCCGACATCATGATGTTTTAATGCTGCATTTGTTTCAAGAGAAACAGAGGGACAATGAAGTCGTATGCCAGAGTAAACACATGCACCAGGACAATCTCACTCCCTGTCACCGGGCTGCAGGCTTCAAGTGCTTTATTTGGTTTGGAACCCATTAAATAACAATTGGGTGTTAAATTATAAAGGGAGGATTCAGTGCTAATTTATTAGATGAAACGGATTGCACAGAATAGTGATTTATTTCTGTTACACGTGTTTATGTATTTGCCTTTTCTTTTAGGAAAATAATGCTCCCGGGGATTGTTTTAATATAAAAATGACTTCGTGTTTTCTCCTGAATGTTAAAATAGATGTTGTCTGACAGTAGTTTGTGAATTCAATTATACAAGAAGGGGAAAGACTTTAAAAAACTGCATGTGACACTTTGGCTACCTAGGATGAGTGATGCCTTTAGTAGTACATGTGCTGAGAGGACTGAAGTCGGATGCAAGTTGAACTATTTCCAGTGTAAGAAGAGATACAATGGGACTTTTGTGCACGTGTGTTTCAAAGAAGGTGTCAAGTCATTAGCACATTAAATAGTGGTGTTATGAATTTGGTACATCTGTCAAACGCAAAGCTTCTTGTCTTTAGGTCTATGGAAATGCAGGATCTAACCAGCCCGCATAACCGACTGAGTGGTAGTAGCGAATCCCCCAGTGGTCCCAAACTCGATAGCTCTCATATAAATAGCACTTCCATGACTCCCAATGGCACGGAAGGTGAGTGTCTGTCTGTCTTGCTCTGCCCTTGTTTCTTCGACAGTGTGTGCCTTTTCACTGCTCGTGATCTCTGCCCTTAGAGTCACCAAACTCTTCCTTCTGTTTCTAAGGAATTTGACTTCATCCGTGGTCCCCATTAATTGGGAGTTGCAAATTCCTGGATTGTCACATTCCATAGACTGGTTTTATTTTAAGACATATATACATATACGTATTGAAGTATATACATGTGTATACACAAAATGCTTTTAACTTGGAATATATTTCTTTGTGTTGGTCTGCATGTTCCCGTCACATTATTATTTTGTATTGTTTTTCTGTATGACTACTGAAAATTTGGAATTATTTCATTTTATTTTCCATTTTGTTGGCAAATACAACCAAATTTTGAAAAATGTCAACATCAAACTGGATTACTTCGGATCAGCAAAGCAGTTTTGTGTCTAGTATTCCTGTGGCTTTGGCCACTATACTATAAACAAGAAGAGCCTAAAACTTGATACCTATAAAGTATGCAAGTCTGTTTGGCAAGTTTGTGTAACATTTATTCACTTTCTTGAAGAATGAGTAGTATACTTTAAACATAGCATCATAATTATTTTAATATAATTAGTACATATGAATGTTTATGTGAATTGTATGTAAATAGAAACATCTACTTCAATCCATGTATATTTCAATTTTAAACACAGAAGGCTATATGTATACATTACTGTTATGCACAGCCACTTAGGTGCTATGCATATTTTTATAACTCAGATGTATGGAAGGATACATTACATGTTGCATTACATTTATTTTGACCGAAGTCCATGGGAAAAATCTTCACTGATATTGTTGCTTATTTACATGTTACTAAGCCATAGGGTATTGATGGATTCATGAAATAAATATTATTGGAAGTTCAATGGATTATCCATGCTAGAATTCCATTCATAGACAAACCCTTTTCTCTCAATTCTCCAATCATAACAAACTTTTATCTCAGATTTAAAAAAAAACATAAGCATAATTGAGTTATGTACAATTTTTATCATTTTGGTGTAGTGTTTGAGAACATATCTGGGAAAGTCTTTTAAAACTTATAAAGCTATAAAATCCATATAAAAGGATAAAGCACAATTAATTATTTCAGATATAAGGTGTTTTGATGTTTCTACCAATAGTAATGATTTTGATGTACAACTGTTCTGTAGTTCTCTTTACAAGTAAATATATTCCTGTGTACTGTTTATGGAGAGTGGTTGTTGTCAGAAGGAGAAACTTTGGGCTGATTTAGCAACACGGTTAATCTCTGGAGAAAGCAGCTTTCCACTGGAAACTTCTATTCATGTCAATCATTAATCAAACTGAAATTTATGCAAAAGCCATTTTAATGTTTAAATAGAGAGTGTATACAGCTTGAACAGTAACAGCAAGTGATCAGTCCTGTCTCGTCTCTGGCTTGACTCTGTCTTCAGGTGGGAGCCTGTTAGCACAGACAAGGTCTGGAGACAGTCATACAGCTCACCGTAGGATCCTCCTCAGCTGGGCCCAGTAGATTGTCAGGGCGCTGGGCATTCAGTGAGAGGCTGTCCATACAAACCTGTTACTGTCAAGCTCAAAAAGAAAGCCACTTAAACAAGGAAGACGAAGCCTGTTAAACTATTTTAATTCATAAGATTTATTGATATAAGAAAAATGACAAAATAATAACATTTTATATATGTTAGAGTGAACAGGAGTAAGAGGTTTTCATCTTTCCAGGGGGTCGCTGACATGCCACCTCCTACAAGTAAGAGCCACCTACTGTTTAAGCAGAGTGCCTATATGTGTGAGGTGCTCCCTTGGATGGTTTTGTGTGAATGAGATGTGGTTTGATTTTAAAGAAAATGTGGAGCATCAACATATTTCTAAATACCTATGTCTCATCCATAGTCAGGAATATATTGTATATATATTTTGTAATATTTTTGTACAATTAAAATTAGCTTGAATAATAATATTCTAGATAATTTTGATAATTGCTTGAAACATTCAGTCTGTGAGACACTTAGAAAGTCATTTCCTTCCTTTCTTTCTCTCTCCCTCCTTTCCTCCCTCTTTCCTTCCTTTATTTCTTTTTTCTTCTTTGGTTTTCTGAGGCAGGGTTTCACTATGTAACTCTAGCTGTTCTGAAAGTCACTATGTAGACTAGGCTGGCCTTGAACTCAAAGATCCTTCTGCTTCTTGGCCTCCTGAGTGCTGGAATTAAAGGCATACATCACTACCCCTGATTCTTAGAAGTAATTTCTTATCCTTAAAAAAAAAAAGTTAATTGTACAGACTCTGGTGATGCACTACACCTCCACCATGAGGAAGATGGAGACAGGAGGATCAATCAGGAGTTCAAAGAGATCGTCAACCAGGGAAGTGAGTTCAAGGCCAGTGTGGACCACAGGAGATCCTTTCTCCATGGTAAAAACACCAAAACTCTTGACAGTTTTAGGTCTTGGAAATGAACTTTCAAGGTTCACTTTCGAAGGAGTACATAAGTATTCACTGAGTCCTCTTTTCAGGTTTGCTCAGTTTGCTTAAAGGCTATGGTGGGACACAATAGGATCAGAAGCCGAGCTAAAGGCTCACTAGACATTATTCAGAGCACTAAAGGAATATTTTTGTCAGTTTACTGGAAAATTTAGAGCATTTTTTTAGCCCAAAGCTTCAAATTATAGATGCAAATTTTCCTCATGATCTGTGTTATATGACTTTAGATCCAGATATATCAAAAAGTTCTAGATTATTCTTTGTGAATCAATTTATCATGCTCCTTTTCTGTTCCATCATATTCTTGTTTCATTTTTCTCAGCTACCACCAGAGGAATTGGGCTGAAAATTAGCAAATGTATTAACGTCTGGCAAGCTTCCCTGGGATATAGTCATTATAGATTTTCCTTTTCTTTCTTTGAGATATGATTTAGTTTGAAACCTGAAGTGTTTATCAATGAATTAGAGGACTGGGTAGGAAAAAAAAGAAATTCATTATAACTAGCCACTAAAATCATCACTTTTCTTCATTCTATAGCAAATACTTCAGTTCTCTGTACACACACACACACACACACAAACACATACCATGATAGATGTTTAAGTGACTTCCCAGCAGTCAGTTGAAAATAATCTCAGCTCAATTTAAATTAATCAAATGGCCAGAAAAACTTCCATACAGTTTACAGTTGGCTTTGACTGAAATTGGATTTTGGTTGAATTGGGTTGTCTTCTCTCACTCAGAGCCAGTTATTAAACTTCCTGCCACCACTTGTCCATATCACCGAGGCTAAGAAAACAGAAAATCTTCTGTATTAAAAAAACCCCATAGCTTCATCTTGAGAACAAACAAGAAGAAAATATAATGGAGAGGCAGAGGATATTAAGTTTCTTCTGAAGTCTGCTGCCAAATTATTCTAAGATTCCATGCTTGTAGGTTCTACACTCATAGACTAGTGCCTGTCTTCATGGTTCATCTCAGGGATAAAGACAGAAACACACCAAGCTCCAGCCTCAAGAGACTGTGCTTTTTAGTTTTCTAAACACAGTGTTCTTCGTTATAATAATTGAATATTGCATGTTGGAAAACGTTTAGCTCTTTGTATTTTTTTTAAGGCCAACATCTCTGGTTCTTGTTGCAAGTTGCTACTGGTGTTATCCAGTTTAGAAGTCTTTGAAATGTAGAACACAAGTAGGTAAACGTAGTTCATTAGTGACACTAGTGAAGACTTGACGGGCAGTGGGAAAGTGTTGTTGGGAGAGATGAGTTTCCAACAGAGTCAGTGAATATTTATTTCAGTTAGTGTTGAACAGGTTCATTCGGGAGACACTAGAGAATGTTTAAAAGCACCACCTATGCATGATCCTGAACATTTCCCCCTAGTCTTTTCAGTAGTCTTCTAAGGTACAACGGAATAGAAATTTCTTATGAAAGACATTAAAATATCACCTCCCTTCACTCTATAGCAAATACTCAGTTCTCTCCATGTGTACACACACACACACACACACACACACACACACACACACACTCACGCGATAGGTATTTAAGTGCAATAGTCCAAGTGAAAGTCGTCCCAGCTCAACTGAAATTAATTAGATGATCAGCAAAACTTCCATGCAGTTTGCAGTTGGCTGTGGCTGAATTTACATGGCTTGTCTGGTGTTATGTTAGAATATAATTTTGAAGAACTAAACTTTCGGGTAAAGTTAGCTGAATATCAAAGTGTCCAGTGTGAAAGAAAGGGGGGCTTTCTGGTGTGGGCATGTGCTCAGGCTTGTGTTGTGAAAGCCTTGTGTTGTATTCATGATGTGAGAAGTCCTAGCAAACTACTTTTCTTCTAGACCCAGAGCCAGAGCAACAAAAGGATTTTTATTTACACACCTAATTAGGGCCTTGTTTGCAAAGCAGGGATGTTTTCCCCCATCTTTGTTTTTTGTTTTTTTTTTTTTTGATTGTCTTAAATTCACAAGAGCTTGAGATGGATGAGTTCTATACTGCCAATTTGAGTGTTTATTTTTGGTTGTATGGGGCTGGGGAAGGAAGAAAAAAAAAAAAAGGAAGGGCTGAGTGAGGCTCAGAGCTGCAGTTCCCAGTTTCCTCCATTGCACTGTGCATTCAGATTCCAGCACAGGAAGCTTCTACTGAACCAGACACATGGGCTTAAATGATGTAAAAGCAGATGGAACTGGGATTCTCACTACCATCCATCTCAGGAATTCTACAGTAATTCAAATAGTAATTTCAAATTTGTGTATCAGATTTCCAAGATTGTGATCTTGAATTAGGTGGATAAATTGCCTGCATTTAAAATGTATTCAATTGTGTTTTGCATATTTCAGGGTGGTAGATTAATCCAATAACCCACATCTATATAACCAGAATCTATTTTAAAGTAGTTCTGTCATTTCCACAAAGCTTAGAACACTAGCAAATAATTGGAATTAGTTTTCTTCTCTGTATATGTCAGTAAAACGTAGTTCTGGCTGATGAG